AAAATTAATCCACATGGTCTTACTGGGGAGGACGATGTCAAATAAAGCAGGGTGGTGAACTTTTCTACACTTTCAACACCAAAATATTTTACCGTAAAACTGGTAGCATTATGGTTTGACATGTAACCACGACATTAGCAATAATAATATTTGTATAAGTTATATTACTATTAAAACAATGAAAAAAAAAAAAATCGTCCAACTAACCCTTAAAATGCAACGACGGTGTTGTCATATAGGGATAACATTTTATGCTCATTGTTAGAACTGAAAATTATTTTTCTAATAACATTTTTCCTTCAAACGCTCAGTTATTTATGATAATGAATATTTATTTCTGATGCTCAGGTAGACGCACAAGAGCCTTACATATGGACCAACAATCTGATCTTGAGAGTCATGTTATCTTTTATTATCGTCTCCTACATAAAATAAATAAATACACTTTTTGGACACAGGTATGGTGTATGATCTTATTGGCGCTGGTGGTGGTGTTCGTGGCAATGGTGTTGACTCAACTAACCCAGGCTCGACTCCAACGCCGTCTTCAGTAAGTTTTATGTCTGATTTTATCTCCTTGGTGCAGGTGGAAAAAAAGGTCCTTCCACACACTGTTTCGCACCACTAAGATAATGAAGTAGGTAAAATCCCACCAAATCAAGGGACTTTAAATCCAGACAACCTTAAAGGATAAGGCGGGTTAAATTAGGTTTGGTTAAATGTTATGTTTGGCAATCATAAGTCAGGTAGTTGAAACTTGTTTTCGTAACACCACCAAAACTACCAGTCTTTCTATCAGATCTTGCAGATTCCTCCTATTTGAATATAAGACGAATATAATATTCGCATTACTAGAAAGAGGTTACACCACTTGCTCTTTCTTTTCACGAAATGACTAATACAGCTCATTAAGTTTCATTATTATATTGAGACGTTTGTGCCGTTCTGAGATCTCTACTACGGATCTTCAGGACTATAGTCATTGAAATAAATTGTGAAGTCATTTCTTTTAGTGTGTAGTGGAGATATACAGTGTACATATTTTTACTAAGTGTATAGTCAAGGTACTTTTCTGAGATGTTTTGTTTAAGTGTAGAGCTGAGATAATTTGGTTAAGTGTGTAACGGCAATAAATTAAACAACAAATATACAACAATAAGATTAAATGGATAACGATTATAATAATATTTCTTTGACTTTTCAGAGAGATTAGTCTGTTGGGGATCACTAAGGAACAGGGAACGAAAGGATCAAGAGAGAGAAAGAAGGCGGGGGAAAGACAAGACGAGGCAGGACGAGTGGGAGAACTTGTTGACGACCGTGTGTGGACCTCCTGGCAGTGGTCAATGGCAACACCCCTGGCTCAGTGTTAGTACTACATCTTATCAGCCATTTCCTTCTTTTATTAAAAAACAAATGAAAACTAATTTTATCTCAGACATTTGCCTAATACCGATAACTTGAGTATTTTTTTTTGGGGGGGGGGGGCGTCTGACGATCATATAGAGAAAACCTAACCTAACTTAACCTAACCTTACCTAATCTAACCTACTTTACGTGTAATTTGGCTATCTTATGGTGGTAAATGACGTCTTAAATGAAATAGCAAATTTTATCATCTTATATTTAATTTCCTTAATTTCCATAAAGATATTTATTCCATCAGTATATGTTATATTTTTCCTACATTCAATAAACGCATATAAACAACATATCTCCCTATGCAACGGTACAGTTGGTAATGCTCCAGGTTTGGCAAAAAAATTAACATGGAGAACATGAATGTTTTCTCCACAATAAAGAAAACTGGATACAATAACGTTTTATTGGTTTATCCCAATGTTACCTAAAACTACTCGTACATATAAAATATCAACATTGACAGACTGTGGATACATTACAGTACTAAACAGGACCTTTCCCTTACCCTATGCCCGTCGAAAAGAACAACTCGCGTACAAGGCCACCGTACAGCAGATAGGAGGCAATGATGTTTTATTTTGCAAACTGTATTAAAACCATAGCCTTGCAAGAAATGCTTTTATTCAGAGATAGATGTGTCATTCCTGGAATTTTAATGCAATGTGATCAAACAAAGGGTTACCACATCTCACAATATGTGCCAACCACTGCACCAGGTGGAACTGTGGCCGACTGTGCGTAAACGTGCGTTTATGTGTACTGAGGGCGAACACGTTAGGGTAGTGGAAACGAACAGGTAATAGGTAATGAGAGCATGGTTTCTCCTGCAGCGTCGCCATGGAATCCAAGGGGCATGAGCATACGGGTGGTGGCGGGTATATGGTTATTGACAGCACTGGTGATAAGCTCAATCTATCGGTCTAACCTGAAGGCCATGTTGATTTTGCCTAAGGTGAGCCCTCCCTTCACCAGCCTTGAGGAGCTCCTCAAAACCTCCATCCCCTGCTACGTCCTCCAGGGCACAGTGCTGCATGGAGAAATTCTCGTAAGTAAAATAATTATCAATTCCTTCTCCATGACAAACATAATTATTATCATTATTATTTATTTAATTTTTTTTTGGGGGGGGGTGTAGTTTCGAAGTAATCCATTGAACCATCTCTGAGAAATATCTGTCTTCCCCAACTGGCCAAAAAAACCTACAAGGATATATATGACGAAAAAAAAGTCTCAAAGATTATTAGTTCGACATGGACCTGAAGTATGTCAACTGGCCTTCATGATTTGGTTATTTAAGCAATTAATTACATAGTTTAATGCCTATTTCTTCTCCTTCAACTTACTTAGAGGATGCACTTGTCAATGCGCTTAGTGTATTCTATGGACAATCTTACCATATGATACTTCAAAGATCATCTAAACTCGGAACGCTTCTCTAAGATACATTTTCTTATGTTATTCCTCTAATGTGACATGGGAAAGATACATACCCTCAACCTTAGTTATTGACCACCACAAATTGATCCTTGCCACATTTGTGAGAGGGGGTGAAACAACGTTTGGTAAGTTTTCTTTTATCGGTGAATACTCAATTAGTCGACTCATTAATTTACACACTTTCTTCTTCTCGAGGGTTGGGGGAAGTACAGTAAGTGTGTTTAGTATGATCACAACACTTTCTCAGAAATGTCGTCGCGCGACTCTCCTTGGTAAATCATTGACATTAGGTTATAATTAAAGTATCTTTTCAAAAATGTCATCCTATTTCTTGGTTATTAAAACCTTGTTTCTGAGATGATTAATGTTTGTGGTTTGCCACACTAGACTCTAGAGGGAGATTAAGTTTTTCTATTAGATTGGTTGAGCAAATTTCTAATTGTTGGAATGAAGTTTTTGACATTATTATGTGGTGAAGATAAATTGGTGCTTGCGCAGACGGCGGAGCCCGGGAGTCATCTGTACAAACTCAGGAAACAGATGATATCTCACGTGGACGTCCCTAGAGCAGTGAAAGATCTTCTTCAAGGAAAACACGCAGCCCTTATCCCTCTCACCTCTCACTTGAACATTCAGCACAACAACTTCTTACGGGTGAGTATCTTTTTCAACAAGAATGTTTCACATTTTTTTAAGTAGATATTAACCTTACAGTATGTGCAGAATTATGTCACACGTTTAATTTGTATGTGTAGACGTAGAGAGGAGAGATCTTATAGTATAGTTACAAGTTACCTTTTATGACAACAACTTAGTCATCTTTTAAACCCGAGTCATCTGTCTCTTATCTAGTTACTTCATAATGAGGGAAGTCGGAGCTATAACCAAAGATGCGACGGACTAGATTATTGGGAATGTGTTGATGATATTTCATAAGAACTCCCAGCAACATGTATAGAGGAGAAAATGCAATAGATTCCACAAGAACATAATTATTCCTCTGCCAAAGAAACCAAGTGCAATAAGAATGTTTAAATCATCAGACAATCAGCTCTGAGATGCGAGATTAGGTTTAGAAGGCGGCGGTCAGCAAGGAATACAATACCGGCAATAAGAAAGCAGTAGATACTGTAATGTGGTTGATATTCTTCAAGTGCAATAGTCGAAATAATTCAGGTATTTGGAGTACTTGGGAAGGAAGAATGGAGAATATGATGCAGTGACCAAGCCTAATATTGGGGTGACTACGGAAGGTCAGACTTTACTTTTACTTTAATTACTTTTATCCTCTATGCCACTGATCGGCTCGTCAGCCGCTTGGGCGGTCGATCACGTCTCTGTTACGCACTGGCTCCTGAAACTATCTGTACCTGATCAAGTCTAGTCTTGAAAGAGCTCACACTCAGTGCCGTAACAACACTCTCTGGCAGGATGTTCCAAGAGTTTACAATTCTAGCTTCAAAAAAGTTTGCCCTGACAGTTTTCTGGACTTGTGGCATCTTCAACCTGGCGTTCGCCAGCTCCAAGTATGTACTCTCGACTGAGTAGTACCCTCTGAGATGTTTAGAAACTTACATTAAGTCACCCCTTGCCCGCCTCAGCGAGAAACTTAAAGAACCATGACGTCAATTTGCCAGATTTTTTTTTTAAATATGTGTTTAGAGAAAATTAGATAAAGCAGGAATGCATAACAATAACAAACGAAGTCGATCCTTAGCAAACAAGATAAATACTGAACTTGATCAGAGTGAGAAAGAAAAGGTGGGTAAGGAACATTATTTGAGGAGGAGAAGAGGTAATCACTACAGGAGCACCAAGAAATATGATGGCGAAATAATTTAAATGTTATCAGAAAATGTGATGAGAAAGTGATGAACAGGGCAGAACAGAAACAGTTGTTGCTTCTTGGCTAACAACCAACGATGACGACGATATTTTAAACTTATTGAGTACAGTCGAATAAGTTTTATGAAGTATAAAACAGAGATAAATGAATTTTTTTCTTACAGACAAGAACCTGTTCTATATACATGAAACCTGCGGATCTCAGCAGCTTCCCTCACCGGTATCTCTTCCCCAAAGGTTCGCCTCTCGTACACAAGCTCAACCCCCTGTAAGTCACACTATTTCACAATATTACTTTCAAACCTAATAAGTTGGAGAACGTGGCCCCCTTAACACCATAACAATTAATTAATGACTCCTGTGGTAGATATAATTGACTAGCCATATCGTCTACAATTGAGAAATGGTGTTAACATTTGTTTCTTTTCATAAATTTTATCTATAGCCCAACTCCACACGTTGTTATCATGATATCTGTGAAATATGAAGTCTCTGTATTGAAAATATTGACAAAGGGGGATGTTGCAAACTTTTTTTTTCCAAACCTCTACATTAATCTACATCAGTTCAGTTTGGATAAATTTTGTTCTGTTGTTTTGCAAATATTTAACCATATGTAGAGAAAAGCAATTGCATGTCCTCGGAATATGTGCACTGTATTGCTAGCTAAGTCATTATCATATAACAGTTCAGGTGGTGTTCAGTGAGTGCCCTAAAATCAAACAAAAACTATAATTTTTCCAGGGGAAAATTAACACTGGAACACCATTATATGTCATCTCTGATCCTGAGCATTATATTGTTTTATGTAACTGGTGAGTGGTCACTTACAACAACCTGTACAGCTGATAACCATACCACGAATTTACCCTGTACTGTTTTTGAATTAATAAAAATAAGTGAAATCTATTCACATGTGACGAGTGTGTTCTCTGCGCAGATTAACGAGGCTGAAAGAGTCGGGTGTTCTGGACTACCTGTACTTCAGTGATATCTACCACGGCATAAAATGTCTTAAGACCACCACCACCACCACACTGCTCAGACCTCTCGAACTGGGTGACTTCTATGGCGTGTTCTCTCTGTATGGTGGAGGTGAGAGCGTCCGTGCATACACACACACACACAGTATATTTTATACTAATTGTACTGATTCTTTCAAGAAATTTATTTTTACTCATTGTTTTATTTTATTAACAGTTAATTTATTTTCTTCAACAGGAATGTTGATTGCTGGTTTGACATTCATTCTGGAGCTGATCGTAGGTGTTCACAGACACAATGAGTAAGCTGTCGTGCTGGTACACTCAAGATTCAGCACTGGCACTTCCTCTCCGTATTAGTGCATGTAGAATTCAGCCGCCACATTGATGCACTGAACTTTAGAGGACACATTGGCGCCCCAAGATGAACTCTTCTAATGAATACTGCATTGTCAGCCCCGGGTCTACCACAGTACCTGAAACCTTTCCAATTTCCTGTTAATCCGTCCACCTGCAGGCCCAACTAGGGCTGTAATGTCCATCCTCTTCGTTTTCTAATTATTGTAATGGTGTATAACCTGGCGCTGTGCCGTCTCCTCCACTATGTCTTCTGATTGGTTGGTGTATTGTTGACTAACGTTATAACAGTACATTCCTTATATGAACTAATTTAAGACAATAAAATAGCACCAGCATTAGTGCAGATTTTACTAATAAGCTCTAGTTATACTGAGACTGGATTCTATGATGTTCCTACTGTCAATTGAATTACAAGGTAATATTGAGGAGGCATTATCCCAGTCAATGCAATGCGTATTATCCCTCAAATGAACAAACAGAGCATTGGATTCCTGGCCTGTCCTAACACTATATTTATGTTGTTTAAGTCTAGTTACAAGATCTTTACCTGTCTGGCCTAAGTAAAACATATTACATTCCTTGCAAGGAACCTTATAAATGCAGCCACCTGTATTGTTGAGGAGTTATTGATTAACATTTGCTTAACAGTGCATGAGTTTTTAAATGCCACATTGACGTTCCAGGTTTTTAGTTGTAAAGGAATATGAGAGAAATTTTTGTGAAATGGTAATACTAAGAAATTCTTATGGTCATGGGTGGGCTTGGGATCGGTTTTATAAAAAGATTTCTTAGTAATGTTAAGGCATTTGTCTATGAAAGATCCAGGGTACTTAAGGTTCAAGCCAATATTATAGATATATTTATATTCTTCATCAATGAATTCCGGGCTGCAAATTCTCAAAGCATGTAAAAACATTGATGAAAATACTGACTGTTTGACTCTATTATGGTGGGCAGAATAATAATGAATGTATGAACACACATTAGTAGGTTTCCTGTAAATCCTGAACTTAAAGGTGTTACCTATTCTGTGGATCAGACAGTCTAGGAATGGCAATTTACAGTCATGCTCTAGTTCCACAGTGAATTTGATCTAGGGGGCTAAGTTATTAAGTTGTGGCAGGAAAGCTTTTAGGTCCTCATTACATGGCCAGAGACATAATACATCATCTACATATCTAAACCAGACTGCTGAAGGTGGTAGAATATTACTTAATAGTTTCTTTTCAAAGAATTCCATATTTAGGTTGCTTAATACTGGTGAGAGTGGATTACCCATTGCCATACCAAATTTTTGAGCATAATATCCTCCATTGATTTCAAGTTTACAATCATTAATACATAGTTTAATGAGTTCGATGAAGTCGTCTTTCGAGACGGGCAATGAAATATTATCCAAGGAATCTATGAGGAACTCCAGTAAATCATCAACTGGGACCTTTGTAAAGAGTGATGTTACATCAAAACTGACCAGTTTAAAATCATAATTAATGTGTAAGTTATTGAGTTTATCAACCAGATCAATATTATTCTTAATATTACAGTAGAGTTAGAAATGTTACCAACTTGGGGATTTAGTAAAGAAACTAACCATTTAGATAATTTATAAGAGATTGACCCAACTGAGCTAATGATGGGTCTTGCTGGGTTATTAGGCTTGTCAGTCTTGATTAAACCGTACATGTATGGCAGTGGAGGGGACATTGAAGTAAGATGTCTAATGGGAGTAGCTTTGCCTCTCAAGAGAGACTTAAGTTTTTTGTTGAACTGAGTGTTAACTGTTTTGAAAGGATTATTTATGAGCTAAGAATATGTTGCAGTATCACATTCATTTGAGAAATATAGTCATCTTTGTTTAAAATCACTACTGTGTTGGCTTTTTCTGCTTTAGTAACATGTAGATCCTTATTTTTCTTAAGGGCTTGGATTGCTTTGGTGAATCTTTCTGGACAGTTTGAATCACAAGGCTTAGACATAGATGCATACACAACACCTTTACACATGTTCACTTCTTCACTTGTCAAATTATTGAATTTCTCCAAATTGCAAAATGCTCTGGCTATGTCAACACTGTCGACTCCCTTGTTAGAGCCATCAAAACTTAAACCATAACCGAGTGCACACAAGGTATCATTGTCTAGTTGTTTAGAGGAGAGATTCACTACATAGTTGTGACTGGCATCCTTAGTCCAATAACAATTTGTGGTCTATTTTAGCTTGAAGATCAGAACGCTCACGTATCAGGTTATCAAAACAGTAATCCAACATGAACATTTTCCAATCACTCGGTGTGGTCATATTAAAAACTTGCTTTTTTGTCATACAATACAGAAAGCTTCATCCACTTCAATTTTCTTTATTTCAAAATGTTTCTTTAGGATGATTTCTTGGAAATCATCAAGGGGCGGTCAGACATCTTCAGGACACGTTGTGGGAGGATTCATCTCGGCATAACTTTTTCACTAAGGCATGTCTGGAGAAATTTCAAGCATATTTTCAATTTGTGGGCCTTGATCATCGAAGAGGAGTATTCAGTAACGAAAGGAGACAGTCCAGGAGAGCTTGTAGAGAAGCAGAAGAAGTGGCGCGTGGAATCCATTATGCAGGTAAATCACTGAAGGTGTGCGTGATCCAGGTATATGCTGATAACCACAAGGTTATCAGCATATACCTGGATCACGCCCACCTACAGTGATTTACTTGCATGTATATATATATATATATATATATATATATATATATATATATATATATATATATATATATATATATATATATATATATATATATATATATATATATGTGTGTGTGTGTGTGTGTGTGTATGTGTAACCGGTCTGAATTCTCTCACTTGGGGATTTTGATTATAGTGGATGGTAATGCAGTGGAAGCGCCCCTTTGAGAAAAACCCGAACCAGCACAAACACAATTAACTTAAAAAATATTCTCCATGACCCGTGGAAAGATAGCACCAGTGATTGGGGTGAATGAGACGCACTATAAAATTTGACACTTCTATTCCTTCCAACACTACAACCACAATCAATAATGGTACACCTGCAATTGCACCCCTCTTAGCCTGGTTTAAAACCCTACACTGGGGAACAAAGGTTATACATGATATCAAAAATAGGTAGAAATATTAAATGCCTTATGAGCACTCCTAAGGTAACAGTGCTACTTACACCAGAATGAGGAGCTCATCTGAAAACAGTTCTTCGTTATCTCACATCCCTTAGTGACACATAAACATTAGAAAACAATAGTGTCAAATTATTAAGGAATAGTAACTACACACAACAAAATAATATCAATCACTGAGAACTAGTGTCAGAAAAAATTAGGTAGTATTAACTACACAACAAAAATAATATCAGTCACTGAGAGATAGTATCAACAAATATTAAGACATATTAACTACACACAGCAAGAAAACCCGAGAAAATCAGTCATGACGCATCAGACAGGCGGGTGCTCCGCTGGTTTTGATAGTACTTTCTCTAGATTCTCAGGAATCATGAATGTTATTCTCCACCAATACCCGTACAGCATGCTCCTTAATTTCACACATAGGTTTCGAATGCAACCGTATTTTTAAGTCACTAACAAGTCCTTCACAACTCTGGATAGGAATTCTTACGTCTCACGTGTGAAAATCAACCATGAGGAGCGCTGTTTTCACACCTGGACTTGGGAAATTCTAAACACACCTTACCATCATTTCCCGTAACATGCATCACACAAACTCAGAACACACCCACACTGGGGAGATAAAATGTCTCTAAGTACCCACTAGACTCCTGGTCTCAGTGTGTGACCTTTCATTCACTCAGACTGCCTCAGTTTTACGCTCAGTACATCCATAAACCGGAGGAGAGAGAGGGCCAGTCAGCCAATGAAACCAGCCCAGCTGAGGGGGGTTCTATTTTCCCGTTAGTAAGAGGTTTTCACTAAACTGACTGAAAATATGTGGTGTTGTGAACCAAGGTGGGGGAGATCTGGTGACCCCAAGCGATCGTCAACCGAGGGTGGACGCTGGTCCCACGTAGATAGATGTCAGGAACACTCGTTCCTTCGGGCTGTCCCAGCTAAAACCTCGCTAACCAGTGGTCAACACAGACAGCTCACTCCGCTCCACCCCTCACACTGCTCAACTCGACCATGTGGGCTCAAACTCGACCACGTGGGCTCTACAGAATCCCTGCAATAAACCCTCTGTTATCTAATGTTAACTTCTTCGCCCTATCTAAACCTTATCTGAGATCGAATAAACTTACTTGCAACAGTGATGAACTGTGCACGCAACGAGACCAGGCCACGTGATCGTTTTTCCTGGATGCGCAGACGTCCCGTCTGTCCGATCGCTTCCGCGTGACTAAGCCAGCCAGGGCGTGCCCCCAAGGCGTTAGCCTGCTAGTGACATATTTACCCACATAACTGAGAAACGATCTATAATAAAATTAAATTTAATAAATGTCATTTAATTTCATGATTCGCGTCCATATTAATTCGGTAAATTACATTTAAGATTGTATAGGCCTAGTTCCAAAAGCTCTCACTATGTGTGGGTAAGCGCCACCCTAGCCCAGTCAACCTATAGTGTAGGCCAAGATGACTCAGCGTATCGCCATATTGGTATTTACGTACTAACGTCTCTAAATAACACACTGAAATTTCTGAATATTGCACACACACACACACACACACACACACACACACACACACACACACACACACATATATATATATATATATATATATATATATATATATATATATATATATATATATATATATATATATATATATATATATATATATATATATATATATATATATATATATATATATATATATATATATATGTGTGTGTGATTGAACTACTGTAAGGTGTCATATCAGGTGGCATTGATTTTCGTGAACACATTATATACGTTGTCCATCCTAAAGAGGGATGTAATAGGCCCCTGTCTCATCAACAGAACGTATTATATAAATGGGTCAATACATCTGATATTATATTCAGATTCACCACCCTGTAACTTTCCACTGTCTATGAGTAAGACATGAGATTGACACGTGAGCGGGCAACTTACCCAAGAGGGCGAGACCCATAGCTCAGCATTTCTGTAAGCACGCACTGCGATGCCCCTAAGCTTCAGTAGCTCACCCCAACTCATATCGTAAGGACGTGACCTAACGTTTATCATACATAAACGCCGTCCCTTTCTCATTCACTCCTAGACAGTGAGACTTACGGTTGATATACACTCAGGAATTTTATATACAACCTTTTATAATAAAACAAAGGAACTACCGTTTGGGTTTCGTTACTTAAAACCCAAATATAAATATGTGTGAACGGACT